CCCAGAGAACAAACACATGGTCTTTTCAGTTCTCTTTTCCTCCTCTCCATGTTTCCCTGGGGTGGGGATTGGGCACCCGGGAGCACTGGCGTCCACTCAATCTGGGCTTCTTCTAATTTGGTCTGATTTGGATCATTGTCGGGCTGGAAAAAAAACTTAACATTCTTAACTAGGGTAGGGGCGTCGGAATTTTTGAAATATTAGTAAAGAATATGAAGACACATAAAGAAATAACAGGACAGAAACCATAGAAAGTATCGGGAGGGCATTCCAGTGACCAAAATCCTGAAATCACCCGCATTTATTTTTCCACAGCTTTTATACTCAACATAAACCAGGGTGGGGGTAATAAAAGACTTTATTAACATAATACATTAACATGATACAAAGGAAAGCTCAGTCAACTTTTTATTACTCCGAGATATCAAATCATTAGCATTCTGTTGTCTAGGTAGCAAAGGTGCTCTAGATCACATATCCTGAAGACCGTCCTTCCCCAGGTGACCTCATAGTTACAAAAGAAGGAGCAGAAGTATGTTTGCATATCCTGACCATCTGTCAGGATTGAATGGAGTTATTGGAGTTATCTTAATGTCAAGAGGACCATGCAGTCACATCCTTAGTTGGGACATGCAACTATGCTTGTTAATCTTTGAGTCATTTTCAAACTCTCTGACCATCAGACAAAGTGGAAATGGGCCCACATTTTTTGGGCTCCACAATTATAATCCCAGTATTCAGAAGGTTGGGGCAGGAGGATAGCCACTAGTTCCAGGCCAATTCTGTGTCAAAAACTAAAGCAAAACAAAACAACATAAAAGAGAACAGTGTTAACATTAATATTAATGAAAAATACTCATAAGAGGGATCTAGAAAAAGGAGAGAAAAGAGAGGGGGGGGTAGGTCTAGAGAGATGGCTCAGTGGTTAAGAGCACTTACTCTGGAAGACCCAGGTCTAATCTCCAGAATTCATATTAGGTGGTTCTAAGGGGATCGAATCCTCTGAACTCTTACACACACACATACACATATACGTACTAAAAGTAAAAAAAAAAAAAGCAAAAAAACCACATCACAACCAACATATTCACTGTGAACGAACCTTAGCATTAAAAAATGGTTAAAAAATAAACGGCCAGATGGTGGTGGTGCACACCTTTAATCTCAGCACTTGGAGGTAGAGGCAGAGGCATCTCAGTGAGTTCAAGGCCAGCTAGGTCTACAAAGTGAGTTCCAGGACAGCCAGGGCTGTTACACAGAGAGACCCTGTCTCAAAAAACCAAACAACAACAACAACAACAAAAAAGGTTCAAAAACAAAAGAGGACAGGAAATTGGGGCATAGGGAAGGTGTGGTGGAGCTGGGAAGAGCTAAAGGGAGGAGTTGGGGGTGAATATATTCATATGCTATATGGAATTCCCAAGGAATTAATGAAGATATTTTAAAAAATTCTTCTAACTACAAGTAGTAAAAGACTAATAAATGATCTTTTTTTCTTTGGATTTTTTTGAGACAGGGTTTCTCTGCATGACAGCGGTTATCTGGTTTGGAACTTACTGTGTAGTCCAGGCTGGCCTCAAACTCACAGGAGATCCGCCTGCCTTTGCCTCCCGAGTACTGGGATTAAAGTTGTCACCATCGCCCAGCAATAAATAATTCTTAACAGTATGATTATTTGGTAAATAATTCCAAACATTATGTTTATTGTGTTTGAGGCCAGTTCTCATTATATAGCACTGGCTGCTCTGGAATTCAGTGTGCAGGTAGATCAAATTAGCCTCAAAGTTGTGGCCATCCTCTGGCCTGTGCCTTCTGAGTGCTGGGAATAGAGGTGTGTACCACCACACTCAGCTCTATATATCACTTTAACTTATGACTGCATGTTATTTTACTTCTCATTGTCTATGATAAGGCTTCGAATCTCAGACTCTCTTCTCTTCTTATAGAATGTATACAGTTTCCATTCTTCACATTATGTCTTGCGAGTAAGAAAATCCAATATTCCAGATCACTGAACTGAAAAGGAATGTGCTGGGAATGAGTTAGGATAGCCTTTGGTCCTTCATGATGGCTACTCAGAGTGACTCATAAACCATGCCAAGGGCAGCTAGATTCCACAGATGAGAGCACAGGACCAGCTGAGTCCTGACTTCTGCCGCTGTGTAACGCTGTTTCACAGAAACAAAGGGAGGCATTAGCCAAAGGAGTCGTTACACTCTCTTAGCTGATTTTCAGGTTTAAAGTTATCAGGTATATTTGCCTTTTGTTAAACAAATTACATAAGCAAATGTCAAACTGATTCCTTGAAGCTGAGTGTGAAGGCTCGGGCTGGTAACCCAGCACTTGATGATTGCCCCAGACAGGAATTACAGGAATGACTAAACACCCTTAGCAGGCATTATCAAATAATAACTTTTGTCCTCAGAGTCTAACTTGCTTTTTTGAGATGTCAATTTCAGATGAGCTATTATGACTTTTTGACTCCATGAATACTTACTGAATACCTATTAAGCCTCAGGCACTTTATCATAGTCTGGAGACTCAGTGAACAAAACCAGATAGGGACACCTTCCTTCAGTTTTCAGTTTGGGGAAGATGGAGCTGGAGACGCTGAATACTGATTTAAAGAAAAAAACAGAATCAAATAGGGAAGAGGCCGGGTGCTACTACCGGGACCTGTACTCTGAAGGACATGTTCAGTGGTACGAGTGATTTAACTTCAACTGTGGAACCATGCACAGGAAGAGAAGTTTCCCCAAGGAAGAGAGGCTGGCATTTAAACTGAGAAAAACTTCGGGTCAGAACTAAAGACACAACCTGCGTGGTCCAGGTGCAGACCTGGTAGGGGTTACAAAATGGAGGAGAGCCCACCTGCAGAGGTCATTGTGGGTTACACTGGATTTATATCATTTCAAACTTGGGGTGAAAAGAGTAGAAATCTAGGCAATTTCTACAAACAGTCAAGCAAGGAGAATGAAGTTCCTTGGTATGTTGGTTTCTCTTTTCTCAAATGCAAACTAGGGAGGATTCAAGACAAAGGCCCCTCCGGTAGAGTGGGATTCATCTCTTCTCCTCTGGAGCTTTTAATTCTGGCCAAGATTCATTCTGCTCTAGTGAGGCCCAGTCAAAGTTTATTACTTAAATTTGGAAGTGAATTATTTCAGGTTATTACCCAATGCATTGTGACTGTGGCTTCCCACTCTTCCACAGGTACACAACTGAGCATTCTGTGGCTCAATCTTGCCTCACTTGTACAAGTATTATGACTAAATGCTAATGATATTCATACAAAGCAGTCAACTAGGCACACAGTATTTCAAAAGTGAATTTTTATTATGACTTATATTAAAAATTTGTGTTGCATGTATTTGTTAGTGTAAAGGCTTAAGGTGTACTATGGATGTCTTCTCTCCGTCCTCCTTTATTGAGAGTGTCTGACACAGAACCAGAAGCTCACTGTCTGGATAGGCTAGCTGGCTTCAGCAATCCCACTCCCCAGAGCAGAGGTTACAGGAGCTAGCTGTCACCTTGGCTCTGACTTGTGTTCTGGTGTGTTTAGCTCTGCTCCTTGATGATGGCAGGCCCTTTACTGACTGAGCCATCTCCCTTGCCTGTTACAAATTTTAACTGCTCCTCCATGCCAGGTCTCTGTGTGGTGTGAGAACCCATGGGGAAGTGGGAGGAAGATGCTTCTTGGAGATCCTTTCTGGAGGTCTGTGAGGTCAAAGCTATTTCCTGTGTTAAAGATAGGGTTTTCCTATGTAGTCCCCGCTGGCTTGGCACTCCGCCCTGTAGACAAGGCTGGCCGCAAACTCACAGAGATTGATCTGCTTCTGTTATGTGAGTGCCTGGATTAAAGGTGTGCACCACCACAGCCCACCAAAGTATTTTCTTAATACCCAGAGGTTATTCTCATTCTCTCAAAGTGTGGTGGGACTGTCCATAACTATTCAAAAATAGACAGTACCAAAACTCAGAAGCAGCTAGACGATCCAATGGTTTTCAAAAGGAGACATTAGTTTTCTTACTCAATTTTTTGAAGTTACTTGTCATGTATTTAGACATAAATCCAATGCAATTAATGTTGATATACCCTACGGAAACACAAATTCATTCAGCCTTTTTTTTTTTTTTTTTTGGCGTAAGGCGATAGCTGTTCTGATGCAACTCTGATGCAATGCAATCCATATTTGAACAATCACAGACACAACTTGCTCTCCAAGTCCACACACCTTTATTGCGGTGGTTACCTCACCCTGGACTGAACTTCTCCCGTTTCTGCCCGTCAAACGTCCCAGTCCATCTAAAACATGTGGTGACTCCCATGGTAACCCCAGGCCAGCTCAGAGTTAACCTCCCAGCGCCGACTGAGGCTCTGGGAAGGCACCCGGACTTCCGGCTCCGCCAGGCCACACCCGGCCGCTTCCAGGCAGCAACCGCCCGGAAGGCCACACCAGACCCAAGACCCAGAGAGGGCGTTTCCGGCGTGGGAAGGCTCAGCCACGCCCACACAGAGGGGCGTGGGCTCCGGCCGGCGCGGGA